TTTGCCCAAGACAGCATCAATTTAGGCATAGGAGTTTTGGGGTTTTTTTGTAAGTTTTGGCCAACATAGTTATATTGCTTCAGTCCCTAGAGTGGATAGTTATACTGCTATTCACATGACTTATTCTTGTCTAGATTTATCCTGATATAAATACATTCAGGTTAGAGAACTGTGGAGAGCTACAAATGTATTGGCATAACACAATTTTTGTGTAGCGACAAGGTCTTAAAAGATGGATTAGGTATTGCAGAACATTAGGGTACTGCATTCACAGGGCATGTCTATGGGAAGATGCAGACCCAGGATGTCCTAGCTTGGGTTACAGTGTCAAGGCTAACGGCAACAGGTTAGAACAACTGGCTGGTTCAGACAGTAGACAGAGTTAAGTCCAGGTCTGCCTGCATAGACTTAAGTAGACCTGTTCACGCACGCAGACCTCAGTCTCAAATGGAGGCTATATAGCTGCAATCACATGATGCAACATGGCAGTGCTATCCCCACTGGCTCTGCACAGCGAGGAGCTAAAGCTCTCCCAGTAAATCCATGTCTGGTATAACAACAGGCGTTCCCTTCTTCTAATAACCCTGGCCAAAGCCTGCTTTTTTAAAGCCTAAACAAAGAGAGAAAAGAGAGCTAGCACATTATCACAAATTCCACAGATCATGTGAAATACTGAGTGAAAAAGAATTCTTTGGAGCTTGCATTTTCTGAATAGCAGGAGGGATTTTCTTTTATGCACGACTGCTGTTTTCCACGGTCAAATTAGTTTCTCTTGCTGAGAAACATGAAGAAGAGGAATTTTGAGAGGAAGCATCACTTATGTACGAAACTGCCCAGAGATATCTAAAATCGGAAACAACCAAAGGAGAAGAAAGATGGCCAGCAAAATTGTACTCTAAAATTTAACAGATAATACAAGCAGCTAGACTACGCTGTTTGCTGTGCATCTTCAAAGGTTATCATTTAGACTGAAAAAGCTTCCTGCTTCCAAAGACTTTATGACTCCTTATGAAAACTCTGAAAAGGCTCAATTAAGTCTACCATATTTTTGTATCTTCCTCCCACACTTCTTTTTAAATATATGCTGACGCATTTGAATGAAAACAAGAACTTATGTTACTTAAAACTTCATCTGTCCCTGCTGTTTCTTGCTCACTTGAAATCAATTAGTTGTTAAGGACAAGCTATAAATGGGATTCTGTGTTAAGGAAGCAAAGAATGAAATGGCATGGATGAACTTCTGAGCAATTAAGGGCCTTACTTTCAGATAAATTTCTGAAAATAAAAAAGTAAAAAAGGGGGAAATATCAATAAAATTCAAATGTTAAGCCGTTTTTGTTGATTTATGAACTCACGCACAAATGTTTCCCACAGAGAAAATCCTGTTAGCTGAAAAACATATTCTTTGTGACAAGATGTCCTTTGGGGGCACTTACATATTAAAATAGTTGATTATCTTTTCAAATTATAGTTTTAAATGAAATTTAAATTATGACCTGATTTACAGTAATTCTGCAATGTGTACTTTTCTTAGCTTTCTTCTGAATGTAGGTTTTTTTAAGATACATTTTCAGACCTTTATCTGAAAAGTTACTAACAAATGGGATAAAATATTTGCCCCATCTTAACAAAATGTTGTAGCCTCTGTAGACTTCTCATGGAAATCTGATCATCATCGCAGTCACAAAAACCAAGATTTGGCAGTTTCTTCCTTTGTCAGTTTGGCTTTTAACTTTGCCAAAGATTGACTTGTCAAAGCTTTTAAAAGTAGAATCTCACTGAAAGAGGCCCAAAATGCAGAAAGTTTTTCTATTTTCAGATAGAGCAGAATTTGATTGTAAACAACAGCCATAGATTCCTTCATGCCATTGTAAAGCAATACCTAGCTTCCAAGTTCTCAGTTAAGAAGCCTCAAATAAAAGTGGTAAAAATACTTCTTTTGTTTACCCATGATCTATGTCTGGGCAAGTGTCCTCAGTTGTCAGTACAGTTCCCATGTTAGGATACTTCCCGTGTACGTAGTGATTTGAATTGTGAGAAGATTCTACCTTGCTTTGAAAAAAGTCCAGAGGCAGCTAATCACCTCTCTCCTGCTACCACTTATTCTGTTCTTTTTGTAGCTCTGCAATATGGTTCAAATCCTCCCTCAACTGCCAGGGACTGTATTACTATTTTCACTTTCACCTTCACCATCTGTCATACCCTTCTTCCACAGTGTCTCCAGTGCTTTTCCTTTCCCTCCTCCTTAATGCTAAGGATACCAAGCCACACACTAGCAGAGGAAAATCAGAAAAAACAAAAACAAAAACAAGCAATCACAAGACAGATGGAAAGAAACCACAAAGTCCTACCTGTCTATGGAGACCTCTTAGTTCAACCAGTGATCCAGTACAATTCACTGCCACTAATGCAAATGATTAATTGGGTCATGCCATAAACATAGCTTCTGATATCATCCATTTCCTGCCCCATTCTCACCTCTCCCCCCACCCCAAAAAAAGAAACAATGTGATGAGCTTGAAAGATGGTATCTATGTGACACACCTCTCTTCATCTTCTTCCACACTGCCAGGTAGCTGAGCTGGGAACATTAAATATAAAGTAAACCATGCTAGAAAAACAGGAAATAAAAGACAATGTGCTTGAACAGTCAGATTTTCTAAAGTACTAGATAGAGGAGGTGTCTTGTTCTGTATGGAAGAATTTAAATAATCCCTTCATAAATGTAACAGAAGGTACTTCATATGAGAAAAAAGAAAAAAAAAAAAGAGAATTTCAAGCTGCCCTTAAAATAAATTCAAATCAAGAAAGTCTACCTGTTATCAGAACTGAATCTTGCATAACAAAACCTAAATTTATGTTGAACAGGTTTATATTTGTTTCTGAAGTGCATCACAGTGGTATTTCCCTTGCCCAATATTGCGCTGTTTACAGTACACTGAATAAACATCCCACGTGGTAATAAACCAAGCTACATCTAAAATATGAAATTACTTTCTAACTATTTAACTATGACCAGCTACAGCTGACAAAACTCTGTGGAAATATGATGATAGTCTGATAACTATCTTTCAAGAAGTTTTTTTTTTTTTCATCCAAAGTTTCTAAAAAGTATTGTAGAAACACAGTGTTCCATGTAAATGCTTCCTGATTAGAAAGCATCTGCCACTACAGGCCTTCAAGTGTGCTTTTTTTTAAAAAAATAAGATACATAGATAAAATATATATCACTCAATTTATTCTGATTAGTTTAATGCTAACTACAAAAGTAGTGAAGTAAGAGAGTAGAGAGCTAATAACAGATGAGCCAAAGGTGCATTAGAAACCACACTTGATAACCAGAATCTCACCGGTTCTGGTCCCTGGGAAAAACGTTTCAAGTATAGCACAGACACGGTTGCTCAGCACTGCAGTAAACATCAGTGGCTACTCCTCTGATTGACATTGTGACTATGGGCAAAACCTCATCCTCCATTTCTGATAGGTGTATCTTTTGATCGCAAAGACGAAGCTGGTGAGACTGTGCAAGAACAGGTGGAGTGGTATTACGCTAACTTCGTACTTTCTTCCGAAGAGGGTGGTTCTGCTGGGAAAGCCTTCATCTATGTAATTCCACAGTGATTTATCACTATCTGTGAGATTCAGACAGAGGACTGGTGACATCCCAGCTTCCCACAGCCTGCCAGTGGCACAGCAGCAACTATGGATAGTTCTGTTTTCTAGATGACTTAGCAGGGATGCCAAGTGAAAGTAAATGACTCGCATTCAAACTAGAAAAGAGAGGGTATGCTGATATATTCAGGAAGAGCTAACGATCTAAAAGAACCTACACGCTCACCACCACTGTGCAGGCTGTGGTTCATTTAGACTCTGAGCTCTAAAATAATGAAAGCAATTAGAAATACCAGTTTACAGTTTGGATGCTACAATGGGCCCTTGGCCAAGACCCTATCCTTAAACAGTTCAGAAGCACTATTCCAAAGCTGTTAGCAATTCTTCTCTAAATTGCCACTGTCGGGGATATTTGAAGGGAACTTCTTCCATCAGCAGCTTTGCCATATTTAAAGCCTTTCCTTAAAAGTGAGACACCATAATGCTGCAGCATCATTTCTTTATGTAAAATTTGTTTTATGTTTGGGGAGATCTAACTTTACCTTTGATCCTATGCATCTGACCTAAACGCTGGGTGGAGAGCTCAACACCGCTTAATTCAATTCAGGGCAGTGACTAAACTGAACAGCCGAAAACAACTTTGCGAGCACGTACCTGAAGAGTATAAATGATTACTATCTGCATATGCTTGAAGTCCCTTTTAATTATTGGTCTCAGTGCTTTCTACTCAGGTCTTTCTACTGCTGTTGCAGTAGGTAAGAGTGTTTCTAGTGATTAATTGATTACTGCTGCAGGAGGCAATATGCCATGATTTCAAAATGCAGCAGAGAGGGTTTCAGCCTTCTTTTTCACAACAGTGATACTGGACAACTTTTCAATGCATTTACTAACACATAAGTAATTCCCATTTCATGTATTTTCAAACATTAATTAACATCGAGTGAAAAAAAAGTTAGCCTGACCTACTCTGGGAGGTGATGTTCGTTCTGCAAAACTTCCTTTCGGGCAATTTTATTTTCCTGCCATCTCTCCTCAACTGTTCGCCACATTGACGGTTTCTCAATCAAAATGGTTAGATGCTGCCCCCTTGTGAGCCAGGCTCTTGCTCCCAAGCCAGGACCACGGCTACCTAAATACTGCTTCTTGTCCCCTCACGGCTCCTTCTACCCAGAGCAAGGGGCTAGTTCTTTGTCCTGGACTCAGATTTGGCTATGGCAGCATTTATAGCGTATAACTCACACCCAGTAGCCAGTGGGACTACGGTTACGCCACAGCAAAGCCCAACAGCCGTTTTCTTCTTCCCTGTGGCATCGTTTTCACCCATGCCTACTTAGAGTCCTTTTATCTTCGGCTGCAGAAATACCTTGTAAGCATTAATGAACTCTCACCGTGGTGATCTGGAGCGGGCCGCCAGCAGCACTCTCGTTTAACCGACAGATAGCGCAGGGCCAGGAAACGCTGCCAGAGGCGTTACCGCAGGTTAAGCCGGCGATGAAGCTGGTCGAGCCCCCGGCCTGGGCAGCGGGGGGCCAGGCCTGCCATTCTGGTTGACCATTTGGGCTTCTTTCAGTCAGGCGCCCCTAGTTCTTACACGCGAGGCGGAATACACCTGAGGCACAGCAGTCCGCGTGTTGAGGGCGGTATCTCAGGGGAGAGAGAGGCTTTATTCAAGCTGCCTCCCCAGTGGTGTTTTAACTTCTGGTCTGCGCGCTGCTTCGGAGGTGTCTGCGGAAGGGGGCTGCGACAGGCAGCGCGACTGTCACCACGTGCCTCGCGAAAGGATACGCCGCTCCCGAGGGAAAAAAAAGCCGAGGGCTCTGAATAACGGGGAAGACTCCGGGCAGCCACCCTCTTCCTCCCCGCCTCTTCCTTCCCCGCACGGCTCTGCGCGACGCCC